GTTGGGGGTATTTTTTTGTTTGCTTTTGTTTTGTTTTATTTTATGTTTAAAAGCACCTTTAGTCTTTAATGTACATTACTTCTCCAGATCCCACGTCTCCGGCCCATCCTTAAACCCGGCCCGGAGCTTTGGCCCAGCGGTGATCGCTTCATTCTACAACATGGGCTCCGAGGTGTGGGACAACCACTACGTGTACTGGGTGGGGCCTATCAGCGGAACACTGCTCGCAACCCTCTTCTTCAGGTTAGTATACATGTCTATACACTCTTGTGTCTCGGTAGTGTGATGGGCGGTGGCACTTGTGGCGCCAGTTCAAACCCCAACGCGGCAAGTCTTGAACTTTTCGTATTTCAAATATTTCATTAATTCAGCGACTTTCCGCTATTAGATCTTAATCTAGTTGCTGGAAACGTAAAGCAAAAAAAATAATAAATCTTTAAATTAATATAGGTTGTCCCCCCACTCACATAGTCTGCTAAGGTTCTCTATACAGTTTAAAACAGCTGAGGTTCTAAAGTTCCATCGCCCCAGCAAAGATCCAAAGGGATCTATTGAGTGTACAGGTCAAGATGGTGAACTAAGGTCTTTATCATGGTTTCTTGCGTAACCTGTAACGTTAAGGCCAGGTGTGCGAATATTCAGGGTCATAGACTTAAACACCATGTCACTTCAATTACCTGATTCGGAAAAGGTTGTGGCCTTTTTGAAAATCGCTACCCTAGAATCACAAAAGTTCTATCTGAATCTGATCAGTATCTTGTTTTGAGAAATTTGTTGTAACAAAAATTGTTTCACAACATGTCAACATTTTAATGCACTTTTTAAAAAATATCTTGATAACATCTCCGAATAATCTTACGATTTTGATCGAGCAGATAGATCATTTGGTTTCTAACCTCATGGTCTTAGTAGCTCAAAACAGCCAAAAATGTCAGCTATAGAACTTTGCAAACTACGAAAAGTCAGATCCGAGGCAAGAATTTATGCTACCTTGCAGCCATTCTGTTGCAGGTTCTGTTAGTATTTACAACAAGCTTCGTATTTATTACAATAACGCCTTTAAATAATGGAAGACCGCCGAGAGAGAGAGAGAGAGAGAGAGAGAGAGAGAGAGAGAGGGGGGGATAACCCATTTTCGATTTCTTACTCCTTAATATGTTTTCCGTTGCTTGCAGTCTACAAAAATTCCCGTGTTTACAATAAATAGTGTCATCTTTGGCATAACTATCATTCCTAACATTGACATTGCAACAAAGTACCTATTACCCTCTTTTCTTGCTCATAGGCTTACTAACACATGGCGATGATTAAACAGAGACCTACTCAATACTGTGCATTCTCATACTATTCACACAGAACAGTAGAACAATGACTGGTGTCAGGTTATCATATGACTTGTTAGTAATCATAATTTAATTCAAACGGGGTCAAGCTGACTTACTTCAACACTGTCGGGCTAATGTCTGTCCTTTTAATAAATCATTGCTGGGTATATTGTCGCGGAAATGTGTCAGTTCTTGTACTCAGACCCGTATTTTATGGTGGTACAGCCACCTCCCGAGATCTTTGGGTTTCTTGGGTTTTGTAGACCTATCCTTGAGTTATGGAGTCAGTTCTAGAGTCGAAATTCACCGCAGTCGCTTTCCAGTCGCCACAGAGGGAATGATAACCTCGCAATGAAATCTTGGTTTTCGATTTTGTGCTCCCCCTCTTACGCGTTTTTTAAAAAGTGCCACAACTTCTTAATACACAAGAACAAGTTGCCGCTTCTATGTTACAGTATGTTACAGAAACACTGAACATGGATTTAAGTTCAAGGCACAATGGCAGAGCAGGTCAAGAAGATACAATATGACATTTGTTGTGCTTTTTTTTTGCGAACACTTGACTTAACATTAAGTTAAGGCTACTGGCGCGCAGATGTACAGGGCCATACACAACAGTAACTTCAGTTTCCTGATCCTGATTCAGAAAATGCTTTGATCTTTCTGCAAATGTTAAATCCGAGGCAAGCATTCATATTCATGTCACCTTATAATCATTCTCCGGCCCCATTAGACTTTACAATGAACAAGCTTCGTGTTTATTACATCAATACTAATTTTGTGTTTGGATTGTCAGACAAATGGGGGAGCACTGTTACTAAGTTAGACTTTCTTCGTGCCATACTGAACTACGATGACGATGGTTTCTTTTCAAATCTCCAACGGCACTTTCTCACATTTGGATTGTTGATAGATTTTTTTTTCATGGTTCTCTTCCAACATAGTTTGGTCTAAATTATACATTGTCGTGTCATTGGGGTCTTTCCTCTTTTTTTCGGGGGGGGGGGGGGGGGGGTTGTTTTTGTTTTGTTTGGTTGGGGGTATTTTTTTGTTTGCTTTTGTTTTGTTTTATTTTATGTTTAAAAGCACCTTTAGTCTTTAATGTACATTACTTCTCCAGATCCCACGTCTCCGGCCCATCCTTAAACCCGGCCCGGAGCTTTGGCCCAGCGGTGATCGCTTCATTCTACAACATGGGCTCCGAGGTGTGGGACAACCACTACGTGTACTGGGTGGGGCCTATCAGCGGAACACTGCTCGCAACCCTCTTCTTCAGGTTAGTATACATGTCTATACACTCTTGTGTCTCGGTAGTGTGATGGGCGGTGGCACTTGTGGCGCCAGTTCAAACCCCAACGCGGCAAGTCTTGAACTTTTCGTATTTCAAATATTTCATTAATTCAGCGACTTTCCGCTATTAGATCTTAATCTAGTTGCTGGAAACGTAAAGCAAAAAAAATAAAAAATCTTTAAATTAATATAGGTTGTCCCCCCACTCACATAGTCTGCTAAGGTTCTCTATACAGTTTAAAACAGCTGAGGTTCTAAAGTTCCATCGCCCCAGCAAAGATCCAAAGGGATCTATTGAGTGTACAGGTCAAGATGGTGAACTATGGTCTTTATCATGGTTTCTTGCGTAACCTGTAACGTTAAGGCCAGGTGTGCGAATATTCAGGGTCATAGACTTAAACACCATGTCACTTCAATTACCTGATTCGGAAAAGGTTGTGGCCTTTTTGAAAATCGCTACCCTAGAATCACAAAAGTTCTATCTGAATCTGATCAGTATCTTGTTTTGAGAAATTTGTTGTAACAAAAATTGTTTCACAACATGTCAACATTTTAATGCACTTTTTTAAAAATATCTTGATAACATCTCCGAATAATCTTACGATTTTGATCGAGCAGATAGATCATTTGGTTTCTAACCTCATGGTCTTAGTAGCTCAAAACAGCCAAAAATGTCAGCTATAGAACTTTGCAAACTACGAAAAGTCAGATCCGAGGCAAGAATTTATGCTACCTTGCAGCCATTCTGTTGCAGGTTCTGTTAGTATTTACAACAAGCTTCTTATTTATAACAATAACGCCTTTAAATAATGGAAGACCGCCGGGGGGGGGGGGGGGACAAGGACTCTACTTCAAACCACAAATGACACTTCCTAGCATTTTTTGGACTTTTGGTAGAGTTTTCATGGTTCTCCTCCACCTCCAACTTCGTTTTGTCATATCGGAGATTGATATACAAAATAAGTATTACCAAGCGTGTCGTTTAACCATCAAATTGATCGAAAACAAGTCTTAGTGCAATGTACGTGCACACAAATAATGAATGGCCTGTTTCACTTTTCATCTCAGGGTAGTCGTCAGGCCCGACGACTTGAGGACTCCAAAGTTTTAAACAGAGGTCAACTCCTCACAGAAGATATCGAAGGACTTATCTCCAGGTTTTGGAGACACAGAGAGAGAGAGAGAGAGAGAGAGAGAGAGAGAGAGAGAGAGAGAGAGAGAGAGAGAGAAAGAGAGAGAGAGGGGGGGTGAGGAGAGAGAGAGAGCATGTGAGAGAAACAGTGTGAGAGAGACAGATAGTTGAGATAGACATGGAGAGAGGGAGAGAGAGAGAGAGAGAGAGAGCGCATGTGAGAGAGAGAAAGAGTGCGAGAGAGACAGGTAGACACGGCCAGAGATAGGTAGACATGGATAGAGAGAGAGACAAATAGAGATGGAGAGAGGGTGAAAGAGAGAAAGAAAGAAAGAGAGAGAGAGAGAGAGAGAGAGAGAGAGAGAGAGAGAGAGAGAGAGAGAGAGAGAGAGAGACAGAGATAGAGAGAAAGAGATAGAGAGAAAGAGACACTCTCCAATAGATTCAGTCCAGTACAAGATGTGTACTGCTATATAAACAAAGACAAGTAGCCTGTAAGCCTACTATAAAACAAAATGACATGTACATACTGAAGAGAAAAGGATCATGTCCACCTCATAATTTGCTTCATTAAAATGTGTCTTTATGAATTAAGCTTGTGTCTTAAGCAAATCTTAATTTTGTATGCAAAAATATGCTTTGCATAAATTTTGCATGACAAAAACTCTTACAATTTTGAAAGCTATATAATTAATATTTCCCTGCAATTTTGCAGACTAGGAATTCTTTTGTGTAAACTTAGAAAGATAGAACCTTATGGTGATATTGACAGCAAAGAATTCTTTCTGCAAAGTTAGCAATGGTGTCCATTTTTAAAGGACATACTTAGTGTAAAGCATGTATTGATCTACACTGTACAGTTAATGTGATGAAAAATAAAAACGAAAACTCAAAGGATGGGGTGTTCATTTCTTCAATTACATGTATTTTCCAACATTCTATTCACAGCAGATTTCTCAACAGCACCTGCCATCTGTCAGGACACTGGTATCACACACACAATCCCTCACACACAGTCACTCACACACACAGAAATACACATACCCCCTTCATACTGGCGTCACTGCTGAGAGCAATTTGCAATCTTGATGAAAGACTGCATCTAAAAGTAAAATCCCCAAAACAAAAGATATGTTGGGAACATCATGAATACATTTGTTTCCCTTCTGTGCATGTTTATTCATGAGCATTGGGAAACATTATTTTTTTTGTTTATTTTTGTTTTCGACTGAAAGTGCAGAGCCCTACTTGATACACAATATTGTCATCTTAAAGGCTGGCACTTCCCCCATACACATAATGTCTAAAAATGTAGACAGACCGAGCTTTGAGTCTGACAGACAATATGTACTTAAATGCTATCAGTTAACATGAAAGTGGGAGATACTTACCAAGGCTTATACTTATATATATAAAACCGTAATGAAGGACACACAAAAACATAGTTTGGGAACCATCCCATTATACAGAAAGCTTCCCCTTTCTTCCACTGCCACATTGATGATTAAGGAGATGAACATGTGCTGGCCTCCATATCAAAGAATGGCGAAAGCTTTTTCAAGCTAAAGAAAACATCATTTGTTCAAGTCCGTTGAAGTTATGCATCCTACTAGACACATATACGTCCTGTCAAAAAAAAAAAAGAAGCGAGGAATGACAGTGAGCAGAGAGGTATTATTTCAGAGGCGAGACAAAAAAAAACAACAACCCACAAACCTCCAGCCATCCATCCATCCATTTGTAATGTATATTCCTTTGGGTTGTTTATAAGAAAGTCGCAAGAAAAAAACTAATTAAAGAAGAAACATTGAAATATTTTCTCTCACAAAAAGGAATCCTATTCAAAATTTCCATTACTTCAGGGTGCAGCAAAAGGTGCATCGTTAACTGCGTAAAAATGTAGGAATAAAACATTGCATTTGATTTATGGCAAATATGATTGACAACAAAACAAAAGGACACATACACCTCACATCTGTTAAGATTACAAAAATAAATGATTAGTGCATAAATTACTCTTAAGAGACACGGTTTCCTTTGTACATAAATTGATTTATACCTGTACTGAGTTCCTGTTTACATCTTCTACTAGTAATCACATTAGTACAAAATTAAGAACACAAAAAAATCAAAATTTAACTACATTGTTATATATAATATTGTTCACTTCACAAAACTGATCTGGATTTTTTGTAATCAACTGTTACTAATATTGTGCACTGGAATAAAAACTATAACCACCAGTTATTCTTATACATCTCTTTTTGATACATCAAGTGTAAAAAATATGACAATTGAACAAAATGCCCCAGGTACTCTCTGTGTTCTCTTAGCACAGGCCAAATATCGTCTTCTCTTACGACCCCGCAACCAGCTTTGTGCGATTAAATGTCTGGCAGCCTACATTAACTTTGAAATACATTCCAGAGAACAAATTCTTATTTAAAAATAACTTATCGTTACAGACAGCGCTAAATGGACAATTCTGCCCAGAAATCAGGGCAAACATACAAAGTTACACAAGCAACTGGAAAAGTCTTGACAGTGATAAGCTATGCAATGCTTTACAAGTACATTGAAGCGTAAAAACTCCAGCTACTTCAACCGTGTGTTATTTTTTTCTAAACAGAAATTCAAAAATAGACAAGATAAAAAATCGTTTGACTTTCTTTTCCTTTTTCACAAAGCTGGTCAGACATTCTCAGTAGCATAGCTTAATTTCCGGAAAAAAAAAAGATCTTTTTCCCTCTCACTTCAATCAGTGGTCTACTCATCGCCATGATGAATGAAACAGTTTGAGCTGCCATTGTTTAAAATGCTTTCTCATGGAAATAACAATCTTGTGTGGCTAGAATGAGTTCAAACTTTGCCTACTCAAATATACTTTTCATATCATGCTGTTTTACTTTGAAAACTACATTCACTTATACAGTACTACAAGTGGAAAAAAGACCCTTTCAGTTGATGTAGTTATATTATGGAATGATTAATCAAAAAAAAAAAAAAAAAAAAAAAAAGAAAAAAAAAAACAAACAAAAAAACAACAAACCCAACCCCAGAGGGGCAGGGGGTTACGGTTGAGACCAAACGATGAGCATTGGCATTCATATATATATATCTCATTATGTAGAATAACAGTATACAATCTAACTTTCATTCAAACACATAAGGGCATTCGCTTAAGGCCTGGTTTGGGACAGCATGTAAACCATTCAATCATAATACTTTCAACAACAATAAAAACAGTCAGTAAAAATGACTTCACCAGTCCGTGTCTGTCATCACATCTCTGACAAGTCCATTTTTTGTTGAACGGATGACAATAAAACTGTAAGCATGAGTCTCAACCAGGCATAGACAACTTTTCAGACGATACACATGAACCCTTCAGTCTACATAGCATGCATACATACAATGCAAATATTGCTTATAACCAATGGGTGAATAATTACATAAAACCATTACAAAACATTTATGTGCATACATTAGTCTTTTTCAATTGTCTCTGATGCGTCATCACCCACACAAATCTCTCCCTCTCTATCTCCGCCAAGCACGCATCACAATCTCCAACAAACATAAGAAGGAAGTGACAGTAGATACTGACTCTACGCATAAGACAATGGCATGAACAGTTGGAAAGAAGCTGCTTAACCAATGAAGTAAACAATCTAGAGTGATTATGACATAAGATCTCGTATCCTCCAGCCAAAACCTGTTCTTCACCTCCCTCCAGCCCAACTCACAAAGGAAAATCACAACCAACATTTTTCTCTGGCCATTTGTGTGAAATCTCAGTAAACACAAATAAAATCTACAATCCTCTCCTCTTACTTAACATGAACACCAACTGATACAGAACCTCCATTCCAACAAATCCAACCCATAACTGAAATTGAGTTATAAACACTTCATGGAATTTATCTCAAACTCTCTCCCCTATTTTTCAAATCCTTGCTTAGGCCATCTTGAGGATAAGAATTAAATCTTTTCGCTTATTTCTTCTCTTCATGAATCCTTTCAACGCAGTTGAAATCATCAGCCAGGCCACACTTGAATCCAGTTTCTTAAGTTTCCCATTTGAAAACTCTTGAGATTTTCTCTTAGAAGTAAGAAGTTAGAGGAAACAATGAAACAACCAATCAAAGAGCACCAAGTCTGCCTTGAAGCTACAACAAAGTAAGAGTCCCCACAACATCATTTCCTACTAAAACAGCAACTAAGAGAAGGGACAACACACAATACTCATCATCCCTTTTTTTTTTCCAAAAAAAGAAAATTAAATTAAGGACAACATAACAGTGCTACATGTCTTTCAAAATTTCCATAATTTACTGGACTGAACAAAGAAAGCAATGTTGACACCACTTACAGTAAAAACTGGAATATTGTACTGAAAGTCTGAGCGATTATTGGAATTTTGAAAATTTGCAAATACATGGCATTCCAAAAATATGTTGAATTCTAGCTGACCTACTCTCAGGAAAGGTAAAGTCACCTTGGTGTACAGAATAGATTTGTTAAAAAAAATTATCGCAATGACAGAAATAAAACAAAAGTGAAAGAAGCCATCAGCTCACTCAGTAGTCGTCACCATTCCCATCATTACATGATCGTTGCTTCGACGTGCTTCATAATCTGCCACACAGGCCCAGGTATGTGTTGTGTAATTCAACAATGGAGAACTATGTATAACTTAATAGGCATCCCATTCACTGTTAAGACAACGGCTGCTCACAGGACAAGAGACTCGAAGAGGACATTTGGTCTAAGACTGAGCACACGTAGGAAGCCACGTCCACCCCCATCTCCTCATGTCTCTTGATGAAGGGATCTTCCTGGGAATGCATAAAACAAACAAACATAACTTCAACAGTTCTTGTCTGTTTAGACAAATATTTCCCCGACCCCACAATTTTTTATCTTACATTTGCTAAAAATAGAATTTCTGGGGGAAAAAATCTTCGGGGAGCTTATCCCTGACTTTTGCACATATCCTCTTAGCAAAGGACACACACAGTTAAGTACTTTAAAAAAAGAGTGAACTGTAAACGAAAACGTTACAAGTAAGGTTCAAGGTTACTTTTTTCTTTGAGGGGGGGGGGGGGGGGGGGGAGAGAAATATACAAGGACGATGGATGTTTGGAGAGAAGGAGCAAACCATCCGCAAGGTGCAGGTGTTTTTTTTAGCTAAAAAATACAAAAGAAACCACATCAGTCCTTTTCAATTTGACTTCCTACTCAAAGCAGAATAATAAACATTAATGTATTCCTTAAGTAACTACGTGTCTCCTGCAAAATTACAATCAGACACAACATTTTAAAGCAAATTTCCACACTCATGTAGAAGTAAGAATGCTATTTATTTTTCTTTTTTCAAAAAGATTCCTCTCCACATTACTGCCAAACAAAACCATGTAAGCACCTGCACAGCATGGCCTTTTCTCTTTGCTGACCATGTAAAAGAGGCATGTTTGATTTCCACATGGCCAAAATATTATATTGAGAATCTCCGTCTTTGTGCTACAACACATCCCATACAACCAAGGACAGACCTAACTGGCTAAAGAAGGGTCAAATGACACCACCTCATATATGATCTGAACTTTGCACTGGACGGCATAAAATATTTGTAATTAATCAGTCACAAAACCATATTCAGCTGCTTGTCAAAAGAAAGCAGATGGACACAGATGTACTCTACTGACGAGCAGGGAAAGCCAAATCGACCTGTTATTTTAATTAAATCATTACGCAATCCCATACCATTTAAAATTACTACTGAAATTTGTACTGATGCTTACACTGATTTTTTAAAGTACAGTACTCAGAGATGTCACTAGAGTTTGATTAAAATGCCTGAATTTTTTGCGGCAGGGCGGTAGACAGTGATTTAGAGAGAAAAGTTACAAAAAGCCTGACAATTACATGTATCTACAGGTACAAGCAAAGGAAACAAGAGCCTTTCAAAGTCCTCCTGGCTTTCACGTGACATAAATTCCTGGATTGAATGAGAAGAGCCTTCTTTCCACTACTTCCATACACGATTTTAAAGTTGCAAGATGTTCACCAAGCAGCACCAGCTTCTTTCAACTTGTGACCATAATCTGACAGAAAATCGCCATTGACCACTTTTTCCTCCAACCACGACCAGCTGAATTTGTTTTTCACATTTTCGTTGATCTCGGTCACATTCTGACATCCATTTCGATCCACAAACTTCTACTCCATCTCAAAAGTCACTTGCTGCACAAACTACTTCATCTAGACCTAGATCTAAGTCTAGTACGAAGAATAGTCGCAAATAATATGCCCCATCGGGAGAAAAAACGATCGATGTGTTTTTAGTTTTAGTAGAGGGTTTTACGGCGCTCGCAACTGCATTAGGTCATGTGAGCGCCAGAAGTTTAGAGGTGTTACCAGAGAGTAACAAACATATAAAAGAAGAAGGGGAAATAAGGACCATAGATAGTTGATAGGAAAGAAGAAGCAAACCACGTGACACCAGAGCACCCACTAACCACCCACTAAACGATGTGTGAAAACTGTAACAACACAGAGAAGACAAAAAGTAGTCTTCCAGCACATTTTGCTTCGACAATCAAAACGAAGAGAAAGAAAGATTTCCATGTTGAAAATGAAACTTCCTTCGCCAACTTTGTTTTGAAAAGAGTACCTTGCCTTTCCGGTATTGATGCATGCATACTTGGTCTAGGCTAAAGGCTTTGCTATTAAAACTCTCTTTGCCGGGAGACTTCCGGCAACGTTTTCGTCACTGCTTTGCACTTTTTGAGTCCAGCAAAAAACCCAATAATTTTCCCGATTTCGATTTCCGGCATGAACTCGGCTCTCTTCAGGCACGACCTCAACTCAGGTGCCGGAATTTTGCCGGCAGTTTATTAAATACCGGATTTTCCGGAAAAGTGACATTTCTGAGTACTTATGAAATTGAATATGAAAGGATAACTTTAGCAGAAATCGATTTTCAATACCGGGATACAAAATGTACAAAACTTACCAACAATCTATTGTACTTTGGTCGTTGTTTGTCTTCCTTTGTTAAGCTGCAAAAAAGGAACAAGATTTCAATGAATAAAATAAAGTCCATAAGACAATAAAGAAATGCAGAAAATGACAACAAAGTCAAATGAAATACCAATGCCAAAGAGAACGAGACAGCTAAATGACATACTTAGGAAGCCTTAAAGAGAGGATGTGGAATAGAGAAAATAAACTGATAAAAACTGAAGACAGCAATCCCAATTTTCTTAACTCTTTATCTCCGGCAAGCCGCTTCCAGCGCCTCCCAGTCGGAACCGCTGTGCTGATGAGCTGGCAGCAGCTCCGGCACATTCCTTTACGAAGACTTAGACTTAGACGTCAAAATACTTTTCAGCAATTGCTGAAAACAGGTCTCTTTTACCGGGAGTCAATTTAGTGACATATATGCCATTTTTAGATTTTGTACCAAAAAAGTACCCTCAGAGATAACGGATTAAGATAGTGCACTGATGTCACCAGCTCTACCCCATAATTGTCTGTACTTTGGCCATATTATTAGATTATCTCAAATCCTTTCACACGTAAAAAAAATTTTAAAATAAAAAATGAAGCTGCTACCAGTGGTGGTCGGAGGACAAAAATTTGGACGGGTCTTAGGTTGCTTCCACCTTTTTACCACCATATAGCAAGCAATAAGAACTAAACAGTGATGATTTTTCTACACCCATGTGAGCGTTGGCATTTTGAGAACCATTCAAATGAGAAGAGTCACTTTTGTCTTCCATTTCTTTGTTCTATGTTAAATTCTTCCGAATGGTGGAGATGAAGGAAGCCGTCTCACCTTCAAATTTCCTCATTTAATTTTCATCTAACGAATAAGAGGCCTTATAGGTGGTTCGACACCATTTACAACTGTTAAATCTCAGCGGTACAATCACAAACATGCACACACAGCACTTCAAACATATTCCGTCTATGAGTTGGATTAGATGTGTTGTCGAGGAAAGTAGAAAGCCTTAACAAAGGTCCAGTGAGCGCATCGGTAACTGTGTCACTGGGGGAAAGTGTGTCGTAAACTTCCCACCCCATTGTCAGGGCTAGGAGAGCATGAGCCCTCAGTACAGAGTTCTTTTTAAAAATCTTTTAACTTTTTTTTCTCTTTTTTTTTAGTAAGAGTTTTACGGCACTTGCAACACAATAAGGTCATATAAATGCCGAAGATTAGAGGTGTTACAAGAGAGTAACAAACACAAAAAAGAAGGAGGGGAGATAATGACGATAGATGTTTGATAGGAAAGAAGAAGCAAACCACACCAGAGCACCCGCCAACCACCCACTCTAACTTTTTACAAGAAGAATTTAAGGAAGGGCTGTGGGAACAGGCTCATTTTGCTGAGCCCTAAAGACATTTGATTGGCTGTTAGGTTACTATTGTTGTAAGCGGTGGCATCAGTGATTGGAGAAATGAGCAAACCGCCAAGTTGATTACTCTGTATTCATTGCGTGCAATTATAAAGATGTCAACTGCTCATTTTGTTATTTAAGAAACTTTTATTTACTTTGGGAAAGAATCCGGGGGTGGGGTGGGGGGGCTCAAGCCCGTGAGCCCTTCACTACCAACAACATGGGGAAAAAATTTCAGTCTTTGGCCAACAACCTCAAGAGAGAAAGAAGTGGACCATAAAGAATGTCAGTACTTTCATATTTATTCCCTTACCTGCAAACTCAATAGCGATCACAGAAGTGATTTCTCCTGTGATTCCCACAAAAGCCCACTAAAATCTTAGGGGGGAGCTACACCTGAAGGCTATCTCACTTATTAATGCATAGAAAGGAGTCTTAAAAAGCACAATCAAATTTGAGAAAAAAGTTTTATTTCCATGGATAGGGCGGCCATATTGGATTTTATTGATTTGTCTTACATAGTGAATACCGCACTTATTGCTCATGGAAATTGATTGTTTTTTTGCATGCGTGTTAACAAACATTAGACCTAAAAATTTTGTCTTTTTTTTTCCTAAACGAATTAGAACATTTTTTATTAATTTTTTCCTGAGGTAGTATTCAAGTACACTCAAGACACCACCAACAAAAAGCTATTCCACATATCAAAAATATTCAAGAGACAAATTTTTAGAATTAGATCTCTTCATTCAGTGAAAATTTCATGAAGATTGGAAGAAAAATGGTGGAATTATTAAATAAAGTATAGAGAAAAGTCTCGTTTTGAGAAAACGGCAGATAAAGAAAGATAAAATATTGACTTTATGAGGAAATGGGGGTGACAAACATGTCCAGTATGGGAAGAAATGAGGTTTTTGGGGGTTCTTATGTGATGAAACAGTTGTAGGAAAGACTGAGGAAGCTAAAAATGCCTACAAGTCAAATTCCATAATTTTGAGCCGAATCAGGACTTTGGGGGGGTGCAGCCCCCCCCCCCCCTTTATTTTTGTGCACTTAACTTCCTAAAGCCTACTTGAGATGCCCACAGCTGACTTGGACAAAATCAATACCGATTTTTTAAATTGGAAAAAAAGCAGAGCACAAACAGTACAGACTCACTTACCAGGTGTTGATAAAAAGTACACATTCTTGAGAAAACATGCCATCACTTGGAAGTCTTGGGGCAGAACCCTGTACAACTTGCTGCAGCTGGTCAAACACACTTGACCATTTGGGATATGGAAATTTGCCAGTAGTAACTTCCATCTGGAAGAAATCAGTAAAATAATGCTGACTTACATCACATATTAAAGCAGGTATTTCAAAATTCACGGGGCAAAAGAATGCTTTGAAAAAACTAGAGTACCAAAAAAACCCCAACCTCCATACATTTGTGGTCCGAGCAAGGCATGAAATATGGAATTACATGTACTATTACTGTACGTACAAGCAAACTCAAGAGCCAGACTTATATACATTGCAGTATGAAGGACAAACACATTACACATAACTCAATACGACTTATTAATGTTCATTAACTTGAAAAGACAGCCGTAGCATTGTGAAATCTCCAACAGAGAGCCATGGGCAAAAATGCTTCATCAGGCCGAACTAATTCTCAAGCAAAATGATGTAACTTGCAAAATGACGGGGCATTTGAGAGTCTTCCTTACCAGAGTTATTCCTAGACTCCATACATCAGACCTCACATCATAACCTCGACTGGAAGCTTTTGGGTCTATTCTTTCAGGCTGAAAGGACAAAGCAAAACGCTCAGCAAATATTGAAAAGACAAGGACAAAAATATCATGGTACATGTATAACTACTATTGCAACTCAAAACATGTCTGACATGATCATTTCCAGTAGCTGTAAGTAGAACAACGCACAGTATTAGAATGAGAAGTTTGAATTAATGGGAGGGGAACAAAGGAACAGTTGTTGAAATATTCATATGAAGTAGAAACCCAAAACACAACCTATACTCAGATAATAAGATTTTACTTTTCAGGGCAGCTATCCAACTTTGACAAGACTTTTAAACAATAGAACCAGTCCGAAAGAGACAGGTTGATATTTTATCCCCACAAAAGAACATTTAAAGAATACAATAAGAAATATGAAATTTTGAAATCTTTCGTTGGGCTGAAAACTCCCTTACAAGTAAAAATTGGCCTTCGCATTAGTACCTAATGGTACAAGAAAAATATATTCAGCTCAAAACTATTTAGCATGTAATAACATTTATGTAAGATGACAGACAAAACAGGTGACATCTTAAACACAAATATCAACAGGGGCAAATACAACCAGGAAAGCCTCTAAAAACTCACAGCCATGTACGGTCTACAGCCAGCATCTCGACTCTTTGCAATAGAATCCACAAGATGGCCACTGATACCAAAATCACATAATTTGATGTTGCCCTTTCTGTCTAGAAGAATATTGGACGGCTTCACATCTGTGAAAGAGTAGAAGGAACACTTGTTAAAAAGTTCAAAGTTCAAATTATGAACATTAAGAAGCCAAGGCAGTTCAGCTGGGTTTTACATTACGGTAAGTTGGCACAATAACATGTTGCATCATACTATGACATAGTAGTATTGAAAAAGAAACAGAATGAGCAGACAACTCCAGTGCCACCACAAACCTTTAGCAAGACAAAATTCCTTTTAAGGACATTAGTGAGGGACTGACATAGAAATGATTGTTGGATAAAAGAGCACACAGTAATTTCTGAAAACTGAAAGACCATCAGTATGTATTAAGTCACATCAACTAAATACACATGATTCACGTAAAGAGAATGCACTTGCAAATCCAAAAACAATCAGAAACCTAGCAATGTATCACCCTTGGTGTATCAAATGACGGATTTCATGGTGAGGACCAACAGGTTTCCCCCTTTTTTTCAGAATTTTGAACTTTTTCAAAGGGTTATGTATTTTACATCATTGGAAAGGTCTTTTAAAGATGAATTTAAAAATGTTAGTTAGAGAGACAGCAAAGGCTCGAGAAAAAAGTTACTTTAAGAAATGTAGCCTTGCCTTGGTGCCAGACAACACAATCCATAAATATCACCAAATTTGGTTTAATAATCCATTTTATCGAATTCATTGACCACAAAAATCATTACATTACAAAATAAATGAAAATATTAAAACTAAAAATGTTTGTTTTAGTAAGAGTTTTACGGCACTTACAATACAATAAGGTCATAGAAGAGCCCAAGATCAGATGTATTACAAGAGAGTAACAAACACAAAAAAGGAGGAGAAATAAAGACGATAGTTGTTCGATAGGAAAGAAGGAGAACACCACACCAGAGTACCCGCCAACCACCCACTAAAACTAATAATAAACAACAGACAAAGGAAATAACAGAAAAAGAAAAAAAGAAGAATTCAGTTGAAAAAATGTCTCCCTACGTCGGAACAACCTATAAGACAACGAAATCATCATCGCCACCAATCTGGACCACTCAAAGTATTCATCGGCATCAAACAAGGCGATCACAAAAGAATGTGCTATTTTTGTCCTATTTGTTAACTTCCTACACGTGTTACATGTTGTGTTGCAGTCTTTCAATCAATATTAACATTATAACAGAAATGACAAATAAACGTCTGTATCTGGGTTGGATTTGTCATGGATTCCGACGGTGTGCTTCGGATGTAGGAGACTTATAATAGAAAAACAAGGAAAACACCACAAAACCTCCACCTCATCGAAAAGGACCCTAAAGAATGAAAGAATGGGGCCAGACTTAAGTAGTTTTTAGCCTTAGCTTCGTGGAAAGTCCTATGGATTTTCAGAAAATCTCTGAGAAATGCTGAGTTCGACTATAAGATGTGGAAGACACACAGGGAGGGGTGCATCAGAACTACTCTTAAATCTACTTAAAATTTCTTCAATTTTCGAAAATTATGTCCAAAACCGACGTTGAAATGAGTATCTCGTAGTCTGAGCATAAAAACTTACATTCACTTCGCTTTTGGAAGTAAATTTGGCACTTCATGTCCAGTCAAAAAGTCGGATATACACGATTTTGGACCACCATTTCGCTGTCCATTCCCATTTAAAACTGAAGCTAGATTTCTTATTTTTTCCTTATCACATTAGAAAAACATATTTCCTGCTTGTTATAGCCTATTTTTGAGAAAATCTAGCATAATATGCCATTTAAAAAGAAAATTGTCAGCTTTGCGAACATCGGGAAACGCCGTAAGTCTAAATCCTTAAGTCCATGACACAGTGACGCAAAAAAATAAAACAAAATAAACAAAGTCAACACTTGTTTTTATTCTCTAGCTTATTGGGCTCAGAAACAAACAAAACAACACAAATTGAACACCAAACAGTCCAACAGGAGAAACTTATTTAAAAAAATAAACCACTGGTGTCTCTCACACCCGTACCGTGAAATCTGCCAAATACATAACAATAAAGTCAAACAAGACTAAACTAATTGCTAACTTAAACTTACCTCTATGAATGATTTTCAATTTTTCCTTCAAATAATTTAAAGCTTTTACAGTCTGAAAAGAAAATGAAAAATATCATTAGAATACACCTCTGCAATTACAACCCGTTGCAATGAAAATGAAAAGAGCAGTTCAACAAATAGAAACTGATCAGTTTAATTAAGGAGATAAAATCATACATTCTCAATCTAATGATAAAAGCTTCGTTAAGTACAAAGGCTTGTTCAAAATACAGTATTCTACCTAAATCAACCTAAGCATCCCACTCTCTTGAATCAACAAAGGAAAAATTATATCTTACCGAGTGTACCCAATTGATTTTATGCCACTTTTTATTTTCAGGAATTAAAAAACTGATATTTAATTACATTTGCTATCAACTTGGAAGTCACTTCTGGGTCTAAGAAGAGACAGCAAAAGTCTAAATACAATAATTTGGGAGACAGGATACATACCGCAACCGTGATTTTCCCAATAATTTCTTCTGGAATGAAAGCATGCTGCTCTGTGTAAACAAATTTGTAAAACTTGTCTAATGAAATATCCATGAGCTCCATACATATCCAGCAATCACCCTGTATAGAAGAAAAAAGAAAACTTATTGAGAACAATTCTTCGTAAAACCATGTTACACATTTCAATGCTAAGCTTATATTCAGACCTACCAACCACTCCGTCTCTAGATAAAGGAGTCTCCCTTTAAATCATCCCTAAAAATTAGGAGTTTGGGGGGGGGGGGAATTAGAGTGACCAGAACTATGTTACAAAATTATGGTGGTAAAATTAATGTGTGCTGCAAATACATGCAAATAAAAATGTGAAAACTAAAAGGCATTTAAGTTGCATACCACTTGATGAAAACAGAATTCAAGGAGAAAAAAAAATATTTTACACAAATCTGGTTAGGGTCCTTCGAGGGGAAAAAATATAGGTGAGCTCCATATTAATTAGAGTACTTGGCAGGTCTGTAACATTAAAAAAAGAAGTCTTTCTAGAAAAAGTATACAAAAACAAAATGGAGAAAATGTTACTAGACCAGTAAATATGAGCACTCACCTCCACCTTCTTTATGTTAATGAAAGTTAACATCCAGAAAACAGGGACTTTCAGAGTTGCAACATGGCCAAAATGTCACTGACACACACTTAGGGTATCAACAAACCTTAGCATTTCAAACTTTGATATAAAAAAAATATAATGGCAAGTAAAAATGCAAAACTAAACAGTTACTTAAAAGTCACTGAACATTTTCAAAAATTAAATAAAGTGAAACTCCCACATACCTCTTTGAAAAGGGCCCCAAAGAATTGTACAATGTAAGGACAATCATTGCTCCTCATGACGACATCAAGGTCCATCAGCAACTGTTTCTGATCCCGCTCTTCCACAGTGGATCTGATGCGCTGTGAGGAAAAGGATCCATTAATGGATTGGAAACACGTACGACTTACTTTCCCATTGCTCCTCATTTAAAAAGGACACAACAGAAATGTGGAATAACACAGAAGCAAATATGTATAAATAATATATATACGCATACATTCTATTTCAAGGTACCAAGTAGAAAAGGCAAAAGCTCAGTAGCTGCAAAACAGATGACTGATAACAACAAAGATTCTGAGCCATATTACAAACAAACAAAAAAGACCAGTCACAAAAGGACACTTGAAGGCTGTGAGTTAGGAAGACTCATGGAACCTCAGGTAAATGAATGAATTCAGAGAATCACATTAAGCCCCCCTCTATACAAAGCAACAACGGATATTCAGCTGCTCTCTGAGTATTACTTGTTTCCCCCATCTCCAGTGCTGAGAACAACTTGAACACAAATGCATATGATTTATGTCTTATTATTTCTTTGAGACAAATAAAATTAATATAATTTGCCATACTTAAAAACCCACACTAATCTTCAAAGAGTGACACTTCATACAAGCGATCTTACCTTTACAGCCATGATTGTGTCACTTTTCTCGTGTATCATTTTGTTGACAAAGCCATAATTTCCTCTGCCCATTTCGCCCAAGTCTTTTAAGTCATCCGATGTAAATTCAAAGGTCTGAAACAAGAGAGCATAAATAATATCAGACCCAGAACACAAAAAAGATACACCACTTACAGACAAAATGTTCTATTTTTGAAATTCCAAACCAAAAGCAAGACTAAAAACCACATTCTAGTACTTTGAAGAAAACCTTCAAAGTAAGTCAAATCAGTTGAGGAGCAAAAATGGTACAAGTTTTTGTTTTGCTATTAATCAATTTTAGTACACTCAACTACATTATAAAATCCATAAAGTTTTTGGCCTAGATGAAAACATACTCTGACATTGAGGAAGTTTAGTTTGTTACAACTGGCAACACAGGAAGTGATGCTTTTACATCAATGGTTGTTGGTACACAGAATGATTTACAGCATCCCCCCCCCCCCCACTATAAGTAATCATTCTCAGGTCTATGCCCCTCAGTATAAAGGCAATGCCAAGCACAAAGAAGACTATAGAAAAGTAACTCACTCTTCTGAAAGTAAACACACAAAAAATAATCTGATGTGCTAGCCACATCTAAATTTAAAACAAGTCAACAAACTTTTTTTTTAAACTTCTCTTTTGCTCCTTCACCAAAGTTTGATCTTGCACAGCCTAAATGTTCTTGTCGGTTTTGCAAGGGTCCCCTCTAGTTCTGGTCACCCACAAAATACTTCATGAACACAGGGATGAATCATACATCTGACTAAGAAACTCATATCAAACTTACAGATATCACTGGGATGCCACTCAACTTTTTTTAACACAGCTGAAACTCAATGCGCCACGGTCTTGCTAACATATGAATATCAATTTGAAACGCAAAGGTTTTTAAAAAAAAAATTATAGTACAGGGTTTTACGGCGGTCGCAACTGCATACGGTCATATGAGCGCTAAGGGGAGGGTGTCAACAGAGAAGTCTTTACAGGGAATCAGACTTTGTTCACCTCTCTAGCTTCAACAGCACAAGGTCTGCTTCGACTATCAAGGCACCCCAAAATAGCAGGTAACAAGGGAGTGACAAACATACTAAAGAAGTAGAGGAAAATGACAATAGTAAGGATCAGGGAAAAAAAGCAGCAGTTCCCTGTAGTAGATCAGGCACAGTTATGAGCATGACATGAGTCAGCCCATTTACAATTCTACTATGCTTGAACGAGATATGTCCCCCCTTTTGGAATGACCTAAAGACATTTCAGTAAATGGCACTTCCCCGGGGGGTAACTCAAAGGGTGTATATAGAGAGAGATGACAAACAAACATAGGCAATGGGTGAATATAGAGTCTTCGTTTTTCCGTTGTTTGAACATTTGGCGCAATTTGTTATGTGTGTGTGTGGGGTTGTTTTTTTCTTTCCAACTATAGATTCTATCTCGATCTCAATAATGGAATAGCGGATCAGGATCAAAATACTGGAAATACCGGAAAAAAGCAGAGAAGTGGCATCCCTGATATCAGTGAAGACTCTTACCACTTCAGGTGAAATCTGTAGCTTGCCAGTTGATCTTTCTATGCCTCTGGATCGTAGCCTCTCACTGAGAAGAGAAGTCAAGAAAATTTTTGAAAATCAGATTTTTCGAGAATGAGCAACTGCTGAATTGCCTTTAATCTAAATTGTTGCAACTTTTTACAATATTTAGAACACTATGCTCAAGAGAGTAAAACAGTATTGCAACTAAGTATTTGTGAAAGTTAAAGACGAGTTTCCATTTCACACAAAGGTAAAAAAGAAAAAAGTCCCACCAGCATAGAAAGTGAAACTTTAGGATGACACAAAAATCTAACTAGTCAACTCATCTTTGAAGCAGCAAAGGCCTAAAGATAATGTTGCCAATATACAAATAAAAAATGTAAGATTTTTCAAGAGAAAAAGAGAAAAAAAAACATGCATTTAACAAAGAATTTTCACAAAGCATCTCTCAACCGACTGTAGACCTGCAGGCCCCTGTAGCACACTATTGCTTGGAAATGATTATATGTGAAGCAACGTGGTGAAATCAGGCGCTTGTCAAAATAATGAAATCAAAGAAACAGGCATTTTTCAGCCAGTTTGGCAATTTTTATTGAATTTCAGTTTTTTGGCTCTACGTCTTTATGTCCATATTATATAAAGCACATTGTTGTGCTAATTTGTCTGAAAAACGCTGATTAAAGGCACAAAATATGTAAATTTTCAGTTTCCAAGGACTCTCAAGCTATTGAAGTTACCGAACTTTGGTGGCCACTTTTCGCTAACTTTTAACACTGAAACCAGGCGACTTCCTCTCCTTCAATCAAAAATATCTCAGCTTCTATATTTAGATAAATGGGTAGGCCTATTGCTTTTATTGAAAGTATGGGAAACGAATAAAGCTTTAGACGATACCAATAATTCCACATGACCAAAAATTGACGAGCGCCCGATTCCACCACGTCGTGACATATATATATATATAAAATAAGACTAGTATCATACCTCTGTGGGCATGATACTTCTGTTTTTGGTAAGTGTTTTATGGCGCTTGCAACTACATAAAGTCATATATGAGCGTGTCGTGTGGAAACATTAGTAAGCATTTTCAGTTTGGTATTAATTTTGAATTTTTCCGGAGGGGGGGGGAGCAGCCAAAACCTAATCTTATCAATTTTATGACCACGAAGGGAAAGATACTTTGCTTCCTTATTCTTGGAATGTAATGAATGAGAATAAAACACTCACATCTGTGTGGTGTGGCCAAGACCTGCCACGATGGAGGATGAGCCAGATGGTGATGGTTGTCTCATAGAAGTGGTGGTGTTGATGGTATTGACAGGCGGTGGTGGGGCAGGGATGGGGACGGTAGGAACACTAGCCACTGTGTTGTTGTCACTATCTCCTCCAAAGTCCAGCCTGAGGCTCTGGCGAATCTCAGCTGTGGATATGCAGTGTTCAAGAAATCAACAAGATTGTTCATTTGTTTGTTCAAGAGAAACAACTTTCATTGACTTCACAAAACGATGCTTATTCCCCAGTCAAAGAATTTAAATTTAATGTTTTTCACCCCTATTGGTATCATTTAGCAGACAAGCTTCTCTGATCATGCTTGTCAGGGCCACCAAGCCTATTATAGAGATCATGTGAGACACGACACATGCATTCAGAACGACAGGCAGAGTCGATAAAACTATTTCTCTGATACAAAAAATCAAAATCATAAAAGCTCTATATGTGCCATGTAAAGGGCCTAACCGTAGCCCAATAAACACCAAATATCCTTCTCCTGTACTGTAAAAAGCAAAATAATTTTAAAAGGACAGCAAAGAAGTGAGACTTACATCACCTGTGGCACCATCTACATGACAAAAAAAAAGACACATAACTACCATCAATCAGCTGACAAAGTGAGAAGTTAAACAACATGGTTAGAATTTTTCTAAAACGTCAACAGCGAAAAATCATCATAGCAGTTCTAAGACACTGTTTCAATACAACCTCAATCCTTTAAAAAAAACCAATGAATGAGGAACAAATTAGAGAACATTCTGAATCTGAACCAGCAGCTTGGAAAAATTAAAGAAAAATAAAACAAGAAATAACATTTTATTCTTATAGCACCATGTAGGCTATGGGTTTCACCACTATTCAGGCATCAAAACATTTCTGAGCTTTAAATTTAAAGCAAAGCACAAATTTCCTTTCAAATAGCATAAGACACATTTTTTTATCAAACCAAAGGTGAGTTGAGAATTGAATCAATTTAACACTGACTTCTCAACATTATAATCCTGAAAATGCAAAGCATTTTTTCGACATCAGAAATGTATGTCAAGTACAGCAGTTTAGCAACACCCATTTCCATAAAAATTAAATTCCTTTGTTGCGGTACAGTAATCCAGTACTAGAAGACTTTTCAAACTTAACTGAAACAGAACTATACCCATCAGAAAAAAAAAAACACGAAGTCACTATATATATCCGAATGCTCGGGAAAATTTATAACCTTGACTTAGAACTATTTCTCCGAACGGTTTCCATTCTCTAGATTTTTTGGTTATTTCCGAGATTTAGGTGTCACCTCTTTCATTCTGCCATTATGCAAGGACTGGGAAGAAGCATTTTTTTTGCATCAAATTCAATTTCTAGAGCTAGAGATTTTTTTATGTCTGAATATTCAGATACTTCAATTGTGGTAGGGGCAACGTTTCCAGACTCATTTGAAAATGCCTTCAAAAGGTTACTGCAAGAAAATAAGACTGCTCCACTTTGGCACAACCTATTTTGCATTTAGTCACCCCAAAAGCAAAAGTAAATCCTTCATGTAAACCCAAAAAAAATTCTCTCCACGCCCCCCCCCCCCCCCCCCCCTCACACCGTTCACACTCTCTCTCTCTCTCTCTCCATTCGCAAATAATCAACAAATCTCAAGAACGGAAACCGTTCAGAGAAATAGTTCAAGTTTATTTTCCCGAACGCCCCGAGAAATAGAGCCGGCCTAACAAAAATCCCAACAACAGAAAACAAAACACCACCTGAAATAAAAGGGCTAAATATTTTGTTGGCCCACTCATGAGAACAAGGTTTAACCTCCATCCACACAACTTATAAAAGTTAAAACACGCACCTGGCAACTTGTTTTTCTTCTCTCGCATCCAAGCCATTATAATGGGAATCCGTGTGCTAGGAAATGATCTACAACTTAACCACAGCGTACACTCTACTTTCTTAAATTTAAATTCTGATTGCTTTTCCCATTATTCTCTAAAGTCTAACCTGAAAGCCTTCTGAAAATCAGTTCAGACTTCAAAATGTACTAGATCTAGTAGAGAACAGAAAAATGTCTAGGCCATAAAAAAGAAATAGGCAATACTGTACAACAAGTTAAACACCACACAAAATTTTACACACTTCCTCTGAAGAACCAACACCTGTGGAATGCTTCAAGGGGGTCATAGGGTCAAATTTAAACCAATTACATGACAGATGTCTTCTAGAAACAGGGAATTCCCCCTGAACTTATCCTGACTTTCAGGACCCAAGTGTGACCAAATGGCTTATTTTAGTAACTGCCTAGCCTAGAGGTGGCATGACAGGAAGTTAAAGCTTAGCTCTGGTCCAGTGAATGTAGGGTAAGCACCTTGACTAATCTGTACACCCCCCCAGCGACACAAACACAGGCACATACCACAGTAGCCACCGTCAGGGGAGGTGCGTCTCTTACTGAACTAACTCTGAGCTTAACTTTTTGAAAATCTAGAGATCTTGATCTCATAACTTTAGTATGATATTTCGCTGACTTGCTAAATTGTCTCATCATAGAATGGAATCAAAGAACATGTTAACAACCTAAACAACATATAGAGATTCTAGATCCAAAAGGAAGCTTGCCGTGCCCAAGAATATGTCAGATGACAAACTTGAACAAAAGTGTCCTGATAGTTTTTGATTAAATCCCAAGTTTATACAGAAAGTAAGTGTGTGACTCGAATCCATTTTATTAAAAATATTTATTAATGACCGCATCGTTTGACACAGCAAAGTAAAAAGGCTTTCATTCACAACACTGGAAGGAAGGTGCAAGTGTTAAGTCATACATCATACAGTCATTATGGTTCTAGATCTAGATCTAGATATAACTCTATTTCATTCAAATTCCAGTGTCTACAGGCATTGAAGAAAAACTTGCCCTACATTTGTCATTGATGATTATAAAAGCCGCTTTTGGTAGTCATATTTTAGATCTAATCTTGATCTCTCACAGGAGAAACGTTTTAAAAGCCCTGATCTTCACTGAGAAGATTTGAAGAGAAACTTTGAAGGATTTGGCATTGTTTTGGTCGGTCCTTCACCTTCATTTTCAGACTCAAGATTCTTGTGTGTGTAAATCATCTTCCAGCAGAGTCCATGCAATTGATTTCACAACAGAACATTTGAAATTGAATGGCAGAATTGAGAGTACTGAATCATAAACTAGACATAAATTTTGCTGACAGAAGCAAAATCTTTGATTTGTTTTGATACCTATAAGTAGTATAAGACTATCACCTTTAAAAACAAAAGGCACTGATCGGGAAAGTGACGAGAAAAACTTGCAAGTGTGTAATTCAAGTGTTGGATTGTTTTGTTTGAGTACCGAGCCGAGCCGCGACGAGTCTCCGAATGTGATCACAAGAAAAGGATGACCGACACAAGAGAGAGAAAAATGGAATGATACTATGGATGGCAATATATCCTTGCAACATCTTTACAGTTAATGACTCATCAACAACAAGTCGACAACAGGGAAAATTACAACGGAGATCCTGTGTGAACCCACCGCTACCTTGGTCCCGGCTCGAGGCCGCCATCTTGGAGTTTAGGCTGAAATTTGCCAGCTTTCTGGAGGCTTGCTGGGCAAGATTCTGCCCATAAACCGACTCGTTCTCGGGCCAGCGTCTAGGGGCAGTATCTCGACGTTCAGATGAAAACACTCTTAGGCCATCTCGAAGAGCGTTAGGACGCCTAACTTCATTTCTTTTCGATGACTCATCGATGATTTCGTCGGGAAAATCCCTTGACGTCATCGGGCTAACGTCTCTGCTGGCTCTCACGAGACTGCGAGATTCTCCGTGACCTCATTTGGGTCAACATTTGACCTCAATGTTTATAGCGGGGGAAGGGGACATGAGCGGGAACGAAACCCCTTACTAGTACTAGAGGGACTTAACAATGAAAATAAACGGAATTATATTGTTAGCTGTTATTCCCCATGACAAACGATTCGTTTTGTTTGTTTTAAATTATTTTATTAGTTGTTGTATTAATTGTTGTTGTTCGTTTTGCCTTTTGAGAAGCACAAGACGATTTTATACCTCTATTGAGTAAATGACAATAGAAGTCTTTCAAAATATGAGGGCACAGATCTACTGAAATGATAAAAGCTTCAGAATGAAATAGCTAAGGGGGTTACGATATGTATAGGCTACAAGTTGATTGACTAACCACTTTTTTTTTTTAATCACATTTTCACAGCTGATTTGTCAAAAGTCATTGAACGGGGAGGGGCTGGATGTGTATTTATTGCGGGGAAGGGGTAGAGGATGTGAGTAGGGGGGGGTGGGGGGTGGAGAAGGATTAGGTGTGCCACCAGTCGAGTAAAGTATATCAATAAATTTATAATGAACACAAGAACAATCCCTGGGAAGTTCGATGCGATGGTATAGTATGGCTGAATTCTGGTAGCCCAAAACTGGACAATCAGGATTGGAGACAGGGCAATCATCCACAGACAGCCGACACAGGCAGCCGAGGAGGGTTAGAAGAAACTCCCAATTTGGTGGAACGTTTACACAAGACCTCAACAGTCGAGCAGGGACCAGCAAAATTTTTTAGTGGGCAGGATAACAAAGAGAATGCAAAAATGCATCAGAAAAAAATTAGTAGGCCTATCGATACTAAGATCAATACCATTGTAGAGACTTAAAAAGACGTCGCTTTGTGAACTAATTGGATTGCTTTGCTTACATGTGTGAAGCCACTTTGTCGTCATACTATCAAAAAGATGTTCACACTGCGCAGTCGCTGTTCCACGGGCGGATTTTTTTCTTCTGTTATTAAAATACGGTCGCTCATCCCCTGTCTTCTGTCCTCCGTTCTAGACCTCCAGCCTTCCCCAGTACCTACAGCATGGATTTGAGTTCCAGTCACAGTAACATTGACACGATGACAGTCATTTAGTGCTGGATAGGAATAACGCACATACATCCTACAGAGGGAGAAAAAAAAGAAGTAGGACATACCATTGATGTGGGAGGTTTGAGGGCGCCAGTGAAAGGAGCTCCTTCTTTTCTTTCCTTTTGTTATTTCTGTCTGTCTTTCTTACCTTTTCCGTACTCGAAATAACAATATATATGTCAATAAATAAGTATGTGTTTCTCTTTACTGAAACAAAACGAAACACACTTGCCAGCACGTCTTTCAACTACCCACATTCCACTTGCAGATGGGGGTAAGAAAATGGAAGAACAGCACACAGGACCATCTTGGCGGAGATGCACACTGACTTGTGATGATATTAATATATTCATTTTGGTTTGTCGTCTTTGTATTCTTCTTCTCTCATTCGAGCTTTCACAGGCGTCGGTGGTAATAGGGGCTCTGCCCTTCGCCATCACACACAGAAGACCCGAGTTCGATTCCTGAGTGGGGATGATTTTTATCAGATATGTCGACCTTGATGCTAGAACATTGCATCCTTCTCGGCCTGATACGCTAGCCATGAAGGGTTAAGTCGAAGGCCACCTCCTGAATTATCTAAAATCGTATAGATCTAGTCAAGGACGTAAAACACCTTTTAACTGACCTCCTGTTCTGCCTTAGAAATGAACTGATTTTGTTTTGCTGGGGGTTAATAATTTCTTCATATAACAAGAAAACCCTGATTTGCACTTACGATAATAA